CTTCAAACTTCACAACAAGGTTAATTACCATGAAAGCTCGGACAAGTTCGATAACCGCCATTATCCGACCATAATTTGTGGAGTTATGCCCCTTGGTTTCATTAATGCGATGCATGCGTTCCATGATGTTGTATTGCACTCATTGATCTACCAGTTATGTTGAATGATTTCTCTTTTAATATCAATTACTCACAAATACTTCATATATTTCAATCATACAAACAACTGCTCATTCAATGTGTGGCGGGCGTATTATATACCGCTCGCGGTAACCTTGTTACCTATGACTTCTCTAACACATTTATATATCATTCACACATTAATGCACTGTAAAATGATATGCAGGCATTACTGAAATTAAAAACTAACAGCTATAGCATTTGGTTTTTATACAATATATCTCAAAATGTTTTAGTTATAATTTATACAGCAACCTTACGAAAATATATAAAAACTAAATCGTGTTATCTTGGTTTATTTAAAACCATAATTAGGTTGACTATGCCAACATGTGTAAGGTAAGATCATTTGTTAATTATTGATAACTGCAGTTATTATTACTATATGCTCAACAAGGTGAGTACAGATTACAGATTCACACGCAGAAACTTTCTAAATGGACAAAATTGCTGTGAACATATTTCATTCACCTTACCCCATATTTGAGATATGGGATGGGGGAGATCTCCCTCATTAGAGGTTTCAGCGGTTGACACCTATGCTTTCCAGAGCTTTGGAGAAACATACACCATGAACGCACCAAGGCCCAGAAGATATTAGTACAATCTGGGCCCGTGTTCATGAAATTATTGATATTCTCATGAAATTAAATATTTTGGAGAAGGTCTCCCTGATATAGAACACATAGATTGTATTTGTTTATGTCACAATAGGTTGGACTGAAGGCTGCCGAGGAAGATTCTAAGACGAGGACCAGTGAGGAGGTTGCAGGGAGGAAGCGAGTGCTGGCAGGGCCCACTATCCACGAGGCAGCCCGGGCAGGAAGCCTGGCACGCGTACAGGAACTACTACAACACTACCCAGAAATGAAGGAGTAAGGCTTTATTACACGTTACTGTATATATAATACTGAACTAGTTATCACAGCTCCTTCTAATATGTAATAAACAGTTTAGAATTTTCACAATTTGGTACAGATATTCAGAATAAAGTTACTAATAAATTTGATACTCAGTATACAGTTAATCGGTCTCTTTGTAGTACATGTATATATACACCTGTTAGAAGTTGTTTTATCATAAGAATGTTTCTCTATACATTACACTTGAAAGTAATTATTTCCTCACTATTTTTGTACAATTCTGTTTATTTTTTAACAAAAATCATACCGAGGTTCAGAACACAAATATTCTGAGCATTCTATTACTTGACCTAGTCTGTCTGATATTTAATATTTGAGGGAGTTGTTGCCCCTTTTTGAACCTGTTTCCGCTCTTTTTTCATTGAGTATAGTTAATATTCAAAACAGAAATACAAAAGATTAATACTCAGGATTTGTTTCTTATCATACTTGCCCTGTTTTACAAAGGATGTTTGAAACAGTTTCTGTCAGACAAGGCTTTTTGCTTCTTTGATATTCTTGTTCTAAACCCACACTTTTCCACCAGATCGAAGGATGAGAGTGGGCGTACACCATTGCACCTTGCGTCCACAGACGGCCACATAGATGTTGTTAAGTGGCTGGCGATCGGAGAATCCAATCTAAACCTGGAGACCCCCACTGGTTATACTGCCATGCACCTGTCGGCCATGAACGGACATGTCAACTGTATGATGGTCAGTAGTCCTTGTGCCATGTTTGTTTTCTATTATGTATAAAAGCAAACTTATAGGATATCAGGGTTTTCATACACACTGACAAAATACTTTATCAATTGAATTTGATTAAGTTATGAATGCAAAAATCTTGACTGAAATCAAATGTCTGTAATGTCACTCCTACAGATCCTGTTTGCTCTGGGGGCCACCATTTCTGTGAAGACCAGCGATAAGAAGACGCCATTGTACCTGGCCGCCATGAAGTAAGTTAATATGATGAAGAGAAAAAATGTCTGTGTGAAGTCTCCATCATAAAGTACAGAGAGAAATGTGTTACACAAACAGTTGTCCATAGTAACACTATAATACAGCATTGTATTACATGTTCTAGTGTCGTCTCAAATCACAATACAAATCAATGACAATGGTAATTCAAAACATGTTCGCAAAGTTTTAGATATACTTTGTATTAACATTTTGTCCAAGTGACTACTTTAATACTGTGTGTGTGTCTAAACTCTCAGGGGCCATCTAGAGTGTGTCAAGTGGCTGATTGCCAACAGAGCACACTTTGACACAGTAGATGACATGGACAGGACACCCCGAATGGTCGCAGAAGACTTTGGACATCGAGATGTTGCAGATTTCTTAAAGGCGTGTGAGAATGAGATGAATGATCCCAACAGTGGCTTTGCTCAGATGAGGACTACAAGCAAGCTTGGGTGAGTGTTTTACAAGGTCCAATCACTGATGAGGACTACAAGCAAGCTTGGGTGAGTGTTTTACAAGGTCTAATCTCAGATGAGGACTACAAGCATGCTTTGGTGAGTGTTTTACAAGGTCCAATCACAGATGAGGACTACAAGCAAGCTTGGGTGAGTGTTTTACAAGGTCTAATCACAGATGAAGACTACAAGCAAGCTTGGGTGAGTGTTTAACAAGGTCCAATCACAGATGAGGACTACAAGCAAGCTTGGGTGAGTGTTTAACAAGGTCTAATCACAGATGAAGATTACAAGCAAGCTTGGGTGAGTGTTTAACAAGGTCCAATCACAGATGAGGACTACAAGCAAGCTTGGGTGAGTGTTTAACAAGGTCCAATCACAGATGAGGGCTACAAGCAAGCTTGGGTGAGTGTTTTACAAGGTCTAATTCTCATGTAGGTGCTGCTTCCCAATCCTATCGCTAAATGGACTTTGTCAACATCAATCTCATTACGATTTGTGCTTTTAATGTTTTTTGGAAAGTAGTCACCAAAGATGTTTACCTTGTAAAGTCTGACTTGATTGATGGTTTGTCCCTTTCAGCCCTGGAGGTCTACAGACCATAGAAGAGGACTCCAACTCTTCCATTAGTCAGGAGGACAAGACGTGGCAGGACGACAAAGATGTATGTACTAGTATCTGTATTGGCGAGGTCAGGGGGATTAGTGGACTTAAATGACAGCATTTCTAGTTTACACTGTTACAGAGAAGAACAAAACAATTATTAGAAAACGGGAAAATGGGTATCATGAAATATGTGAATGGTAAACAAGGAAAATAAAACAAAGGGACCTTATGTCAAGGTTAAACAAAACAAAGACTTTATGTCAAGGTTATACAAAACAAAGGGACCTTATGTCAAGGATATACAAAACAAAGGGACCTTATGTCAAGGATATACAAAACAAATGGACCTTATGTCAAGGTTATACAAAACAAAGGGACCTTATGTCAAGGATATACAAAACAAAGGGACCTTATGTCAAGGTTATCCAAAACAAAGGGACCTTATGTCAATGTTATACAAAATGATGGGACCTTATGTCAAGGTTAAACAAAACGAAGGGACCTTTTGTCAAGGTTATACAAATGAAGGGACCTTATGTCAAGGTTAGACAAAACAAAGGGACCTGATGTCAAGGGTACACAAAACGAAGGGACCTTTTGTCAAGGTTATACAAAAAAAAGGGACCTTATGTCAAGGATATACAAACAAAAGGGACCTTATGTCAATGTTATACAAAATGATGGGACCTTATGTCAAGGGTATATAAAACGAAGGGACCTTATGTCAAGGTTATCCAAAACAAAGGGACCTTATGTCAAGGTTATACAAAACAAAGGGACCTTATGTCAAGGTTATACAAAATGAAGGGACCTTATGTCAAGGGTATACAAAACGAAGGGACCTTATGTCAAGGTTATACAAAACAAAGGGACCTTATGTCAAGGTTATACAAAACAAAGGGACCTTATGTCAAGGTTATACATAATGAAGGGACCTTATGTCAAGGATATACAAAACAAAGAGACCTTATGTCAAGGATATACAAAACATAAAATGATTCAGAGTGATATCTGGTGACGAGAAGTTCCATTACGTAGAAATGATCTTTGTATTAACAACATTAGTTGGTATCCTGACACTGTTAGCTGTTGTGTGGACTGTAGTATTACTGATTCACCTTTACTCTCAATGCTCAGGTTTTCAGCCTTATATGATTGATGTCAAAACACAGCTTCACCTGTTCATAAAGAAAAAATCTCAGTGCTTGATATTTAATAATGATAACTGAAGGACTGATTCAGAAATAAATTTAATATGTAGAATATCTTAACTTTGTTACTAAACGATAACAGTTGGAAACCTACCGACTGATTTATATATTCAAGTGGAATAAGTGTGTGATACATTCCAATATGAATTTAGGATCTGTCTGGTAGTCAAGTGAGCCAGAAACGCCATATGTATGGATAGACTTGTGACAAGTGTGAGCTATAGGGTTATATACAGCTGTCATCTCTCTGTGTTCTAAGGCTTACTTTACCTGCCCTGGCCACAGACGCAGCAGATCTGCCTCGCTAACTCAGCAGCCGCTGATTCTCTAACTTACAGGCTTCATTGGTTTGTAGTGATTTTAGCTCGTACTCATATGTTGTTTTACTTGGTTTAAAGTGTTCAGCTTGTTTATTTCAAAGCAGATTCAAAAGTAAACATTTTACAATAAAAGCTTTGGGTGACTTTCAGATTTATAGAAACAAACATCTTCAAATAGTCCTCTGTATCAACATAGTTAAACCAAGTACAAACACTTCTTGTGTTGTGTGGCCTGCAGTCTCCTATGATTGGAAGCTTATTCTTTTACAGAATTACTCGGACAAGGCTGGTGTGGGCAGTGACGGTGGGTCTCAAAGAGCGAAATCAGCACGCACTGTTCACAGAGAAAAGGAGGTCCGTTCACACCAATCACCTCACACCTTACACCTTTCTTCTCCATCTCCATAGCAACATAGATAGTAATGGTTAGGGGACATCATCAGCTATTGGATACTTTTCTATTAAAGGCAAAAAGTCATAATCGTAACTGTTTTATGAGACACATACAGATCTGACAATCATAATTAAATCCCCTGACGATGGTAAACTGTTATCCTTATGGAGCTAAATCAGTTCAGTTACAATAACTTTAACACAAATTTGTCTTAAAAATCAGGAAATGAAATATTGCAAAGCATCGACTTTTGATGTAGGTCAAATACAACTCCTTGACAAAAAAAAAGAGTGTACGATTCCATTCACTAGTGTTTACTTCTCCCATTATCTGAACAAAGTTGATCTTTCAGATTTGGATGATTATGGTTAGTTTTGTTACTTTGTGATGATATACAGGATGAGGTCAGTGTTTCCATTGCTGATGTATGGTTATCCCCTGTAATCTCCCCAGACATTACAACACTCTAGCTGTTGTTACACAGATGTCATCACACACGATACACCTTATATTACTGATGTATGGTTATCCCCTGTAATCTCCCCAGACATTACAACACTCTAGCTGTTGTTACACAGATGTCATCACACACGATACACCTAATATTACTGATGTATGGTTATCCCCTGTAATCTCCCCAGACATTACAACACTCTAGCTGTTGTTACACAGATGTCATCACACACGATACACCTAATATTACTGATGTATGGTTATCCCCTGTAATCTCCCCAGACATTACAACACTCTAGCTGTTGTTACACAGATGTCATCACACACGATACACCTAATATTACTGATGTATGGTTATCCCCTGTAATCTCCCCAGACATTACAACACTCTAGCTGTTGTTACACAGATGTCATCACACACGATACACCTAATATTACTGATGTATGGTTATCCCCTGTAATCTCCCCAGACATTACAACACTCTAGCTGTTGTTACACAGATGTCATCACACACGATACACCTAATATTACTGATGTATGGTTATCCCCTGTAATCTCCCCAGACATTACAACACTCTAGCTGTTGTTACACAGATGTCATCACACACGATACACCTAATATTACTGATGTATGGTTATCCCCTGTAATCTCCCCAGACATTACAACACTCTAGCTGTTGTTACACAGATGTCATCACACACGATACACCTAATATTACTGATGTATGGTTATCCCCTGTAATCTCCCCAGACATTACAACACTCTAGCTGTTGTTACACAGATGTCATCACACATGATACACCGAATATTACTGATGTATGGTTATCCCCTGTAATCTCCCCAAACATTACAACACTCTAGCTGTTATTACACAGATATCATCACACACGATATACCTAATATTACAGATGTATGGTTATCCCCTGTAATCCCCCCAGACATAACAACACTCTAGCTTTTGTTAAACAGATGTCATCACACATGATACACCTAATATTACTGATGTATGGTTATCCCCTGTAATCTCCCCAGACATTATGGTTACCGTTACTTTACACAGGAAACAATCCCTATCAAAACATCAATACCAAATGTATTCTTAGTTTTAATTCTTCCTAAATGTGTTTTTTTAATCCAGTAGAAAGTCACTGTAAGTTTATATTGATTTCCGAAGATGTAATCCACTTGAAATTCTGTCTTCATCACCCATTACAATGCATGAATGAAAAGAGAAGAATCACTTCAATGAATCACGTAGTGTTATTTAGAATGGTTAACAATGTTTCAGTAGGAGGTAACTACACCTTAAAATTATGTAAACAGCCTGCTTTCCTATTTCATTTTACCTGTATCTATGAATCTTTCTCCTTTCTGTACCCATCTTCACAGTATTTACCTGTAATCAAGAACAACACTGTTGTTGTGTATTACCTGGTTAAATGTCTTACCAGATTACCAAGTGCTTAAACAGCTTGTTTGGTTTAATATTTTTGCATATTTTTGTATATTTACTGCATTTGATGGAATTTCAATAAAAGTTTCATGGATTCAAAATTATGATAACTACAGAAAAACTCTACCTGACTGATTCTGATACCATGACCTTACCTTAATGGTAATTCATGTGAACTCATGCATTTATCTCAACTCTTCAAAGTTAAATGTGAAATGTTTTCACACATTATTTATGTTTTAGATATTGATTCACTCAGTGTAATTTAGAATAGGTATCATTTCGGAGTCCTTATAGTACATACCAACAGTGATACAGGTTGTCAGTGGTTAACAGGTTAAAATGTATTATGAGAACTGTAAAAGGAGTAACAGAATGAGAGTTTTAGAACTTAATCCTACCGTAACATTGACGACTTTCTACTGATGCTATATATACAGTAAGTGAGTAATTGATGGATAACTTTATATAACTTGTTCAGATGTGTTTAACTATACAACTCGTTAGGATGTGTTACAGGGAGTGTGTCCATCAACCAGTAAATATACATATACAGGATACTGATGTGAACTCAGAATGGAAAGACATATTGCCTGTGTTTTCCTGGCTCCATAAAATACAAGTGTAAAATAGTATTTTCTAGATATGAATGAACTGTATGTAGGTGTTTTATTAACTTCCGTGATGATTGGTTATAATGTGAATATACAATTCTTGTTATTTAATTATCAATTTGAAGAAGTCACTCTGAATCTTTTGTCTCGGACTCTTCCTAGATCTGTGTAATGACCTCTTGTTGAGGAAACTTGACATGTTGATACACGGCCGATTTAACCGACATATTTCTACGCAAACGAAACTGTTGACTCATTATATATGTTTGTATATGTTCTGTTACAATGTAATTATAGAAATTTTATTTGCTTACATTCTGAAACCAGTCCATATAATAATTTCATTTTCTTTTTTAGACGAAGAAAAAGATTTACGAAGAGCAACATCAAAAAATGGAAGAAAGCGGAGACTCCTTCCTAGATAGTATTCGTCACGAGTTTGATACATGACCTGAACCATGATCTACAGTTGCATTAGATACCTCTATTGGAACGTAGCGGTCACTTTCTGGACACTTGCTTATGCAGTATGAGGCAACTGCAGGTGCTGCATTGTGATATCTATTGAACTTTGACCTTTAATGTTGACCTCAGTTACCCGAATGACCAGCAAATTCACACAAGTAGTGTTTGTACTGAATTGTTAAGAACACAAGTGAACCAGATTGTTATTTTTGGTAGTTTTCAGATTAGCCAGTGTATTTTTGTTACTGTAAATCAAGGAGATATTGATAGATGTTTTGTTACTGTAAATCAAGGAGATATTGATAGATGTTTTGTTGATGTGGTAATGATAAACTGTATATGTAGTCAGTTGTTAACGACTCCTCTAGCGGGAATTTCCCTTTAGCCCAGGGTCGGTAAGTTCAGGACTAGATTTAGCCCTTAGCTTCAGTGTCTTGTAGAGGCACTGGATATGAGCATGTTATGTTGGTATGAAATGAAGAATAAACTGGATATATAGGCTTTGTTTAAATAGCTTATTGCTGTGCCCCCCTCCCTATCCCTCCTAAAACATATGTTGATTTGTAGTATATATATATATTGTCTGACTGTGATACCTGTATATTCCAACAACTCTAGCTTTACCTGATTATAACAAGTATTAAGATGATTGGTTTTATAGGATAGGTAAGAATATCTCACATTTTTACACTCTGGTACCTCCATTTGTTTTACTTAAATTTGTATTCATTTTTACCTGTTTGTTAGAGTTTTGTCAGTAATATACATATATAGTATCACAGCTGTGATATTACACGGGAATTGGATGTCTCTATTTGTGCCATATTTGATCTAATTAGCGTGCAGGTATTCCAGAACCTATGGGACAGCTCCTATGAAATATGTTTATGTCAGCTTTAGTGATAGAATCTAGCTTCACATAGTCAGTAATATTTACAGAGGGAGCTAAGGGAGATAACAGCGAGATGTAAAGACAGCCTAAAGAATGCTAATTGGGTCGAATGTAGTACAGGTCAATTATTAGGTATAGTATGTTTTATTTGATATCTGTTTTTAGGTGCAGGGTATGGTTGATTAGGATATTAGTTATTTTATTTATACTTTAGAAGATATATATTTACTTTAAGTCTTATGAACTATTTCATTGCAAAAATCTAAGTATGTATCGTTATAATTATATCTAATAGATATGTTCTGAGGGAATCTTAAAAACAAGGTTATGATGGGTAATAATGATGATAGATTGATGTTACTGATAATAACCTCTACATGGTGTACACATGTTCAGGTAGAACATACATTAATCAACGCTGCCAACACTTGTCATTCTGCTTATTTAATACTTTGTTTTTAAGTGTATGCTAATTAAATTTCACTGTTTCATGTAGGTTTGTTAATAAATGATCGTGTAGGGTGTGTTATAGGACATCGTCCTCTAGGTTAAATATACATATTTTTGAAGGTGTCACATGGCATTTTCATTCTCCATCATTTGTTTTTGCTATTGATATGAGTTATAACGATATTAACCCCTTAACTTGTAATTCTACATTCTAAGTTCTTTTGTTGATGATAGCATTTAAAATTATCTAAATTTTCAAGATAAATAATTTTCAACTTGTAACAAAAAGTATTTATATGAACATATATTTTCCAGTCCATAACTATTTTTCGTACATTATATATGTGCATGTATTTGTTAATGAAGCGGAATTGTTTTATAGGGTTAACATCAACAAATGCTCATTAAGTGCTCCTTGATATTCTTGAGAATACATATTTTTTTAAAACATTGTTAAAGATGTAAAAAATTGAACTTACTATTGAAAGTGTTAACACTTTCAAAAGTTAATTGTTTTATGACAAAACAAATAGCTTTTTTTAACATTAGTGCATATGGTATTACATATTCTATTGGGCACCATATCTGTGAAGTAAATACTGTATGAAGTGTTAAATAGTGTACCTAGTATACAAGTTATGGAGTTGTCAGCTGTCATATTGGTTATTGTCTTCAGTTTCTATTAGGTCTACTCAGTTATGATACAGATTAAAACAATGTGTCATCAATTATAAAAAATGTTAAATCCCTACATCTAACTGCATTTTGGTGCTGATTGTGTTACACTTCAAGAGTCAAGGGTAAATCTATAGAGAATTGGAATCTTCTATCACTTGTTTTTCTCTTGCATAGAGAAGCGTGTCTTGGTAGGTCTATGGCAGTGTGACTGAGGATTGGTAAATAACCATCACAGCCATGTGACTGATGATTGGTAAATAACCATCACAGCCATGTGACTGGATTGGTAAATAACCATCACAGTCATGTGACTGATGATTGGTAAATAACCATCACAGCCATGTGACTGTGGATTGGTAAATAACCATCACAGCCATGTGACTGAGGATTGGAAAATAACCATTACAGCCATGTGACTGTGGATTGGTAAATAACCATCACAGCCATGTGAATGTGGATTAGTAAATAACCATCACAGCAGTGTAGCTGTAGATTGGTAAATAACCATCACAACAGTGTGGCTGTGGATTGGTAAATTGTCACCACAGTGGTGTGGCTGTGGGTTGGTATAACGGAATCAGTGTGACTGTGGGTTTGTATCTTGAAGTCACACGCTGTAGTTACTCCTAGGAAATATAGCTAAACACTGTCTGATTTGCTAGAGAGATGCTTTAACTCTAGATATGGAATAAAAGTAATGCTACATTATGGAGTTTGGGTTTTCTTTGACCAGTGTTATTTGCACAACTACCACATATACCATAGATGGTCACTTGCATGACTTTTTGAAAAAAACATATTTCAGAAGAAGCACTTCATACAAATCAGCTATTGGTAAAATATCATTACTGAAGGTATTTTGTTTCTTCAGAAGGTTTTTGAGTATTTCAACAAATTTGACATCTTTGACCTTGAATAAGTACCACTCATGCCACAAAGCTACTGGCTTAATATCACCACTCCAGTCTACTGGCCTAATATCACCACTCCAGTCTACTGGCCTAATATCACCACTCCAGTCTTCTGGCCTAATATCACTACTCCATCTACTGGCCTAATATCACCACTCCAGTCTACTGGCCTAATATCACCGCTCCAGTCTACTGGCCTAATATCACCACTCGAGTCTACTGGCCTAATATCACCACTCCAGTCCTCTGGCCTAATATCACAACTCCAGTCTACTGGCCTAATATCACCACTCAAGTCTACTGGCCTAATATCACCACTCCAGTCTTCTTGCCTAATATCACCACTCCAGTCTACTGGCCTAATATAACCACTCCAGTCTACTGGCCTAATATCACCCCTCCAGTCTACTGGCCTAATATCACCACTCCATTCTTTTTGCCTAATATCACCACTCCAGTCTACTGGCATAATATCACCACTCCAGTCTACTGGCCTAACATCACCACTCCAGTCTACTGGCCTAATATCACCAGTCCAGTCTTCTGGCCTAATATCACCACTCCAGTCTACTGGACTAATATCACCACTCCAGTCTACTGGCCTAATATCTCCACTCCAGTCTACTGGCCTAATATCACCAATCCAGTCTTCTGGCCTAATATCACTACTCCATCTCCTGGCCTAATATCACCACTCCAGTCTACTGGACTAATATCACCACTCCAGTCTACTGGCCTAATATCACCACTCCAGTCTTCTGGTTTTGCAGAAAAAGTTGTTGGACTATCAAAGTATTTTGACCCCTGCAACCTTGGATATGTTTCAAGGTCATTTCTGTTATAAACTTTATAGCACTCCGTCCAGCAAGTCACTGGCCATTGTCATTACTCCAAGCCTTTTGGTTCTTCAAAAGAAGTCATGTAAGTATTTTAACAAGGTTGACCCTTGTGACCTTGAAAATGGGTCAAAATCATTTCCCTTCGCAATGTAGCACTCCATTCCATCAAGCTCCTCAGTGAATGTCGATACTCTAGGTATTTTGGTTCTTCAAAGTAAGTCATTTATAAAATCTTATTTGACCCTTATAACCTTGAAAGTAGTTCAAAATGTATTTCTTTTTTTTAATACAAACCTTATTTGGCTTTATCCCAGGAAACTATTAGCCAAATATCATGACACTGTCACTGAGACTTCTGAAGAAGAAGCTGTTTTGAAGAAAAATTGACAACAATGGATGCCATACCATAGCATAACCTCACTTTGCCCTATAGGACAGGTGAACAAATAAAACAATATCATATCTTTTGTCTGGTTGATTGTAAATATCTTTAATAATAAAATAATCATTTAAAACTTAAAAGAATTACACAAAATAACATTATAATTCCTTTAATTTGAAAACAAGACAGAAGTTAGTGGGAATAGGTGTACAACTTTGGAAAAACAATGAGATTAACTTTTTAAACATGTCCATGTAACAGTCCTATACCCTACTGATGTGTCTACTTCAATGTTTAACATGTCCATGTGTCCTATACCCTACTGATGTGTCTACGTCTATGTTAAACATGTCCATGTGTCCTATACCCTACTGATGTGTCTACTTCAATGTTAAACATGTCCATGTGTCCTATACCCTACTGATGTGTCTACTTCAATGTTAAACATGTCCATGTGTCCTATACCCTACTGATGTGTCTACTTCAATGTTAAACATGTCCATGTGTCCTATACCCTACTGATGTGTCTACTTCAATGTTAAACATGTCCATGTGTCCTATACCCTACTGATGTGTCTACTTCAATGTTAAACATGTCCATGTGTCCTATACCCTACTGATGTGTCTACTTCAATGTTAAACATGTCCATGTGTCCTATACCCTACTGATGTGTCTACTTCAATGTTAAACATGTCCATGTGTCCTATACCCTACTGATGTGTCTACTTCAATGTTAAACATGTCCATGTGTCCTATACCCTACTGATGTGTCTACTTCAATGTTAAACATGTCCATGTGTCCTATACCCTACTGATGTGTCTACTTCAATGTTAAACATGTCCATGTGTCCTATACCCTACTGATGTGTCTACTTCAATGTTAAACATGTCCATGTGTCCTATACCCTACTGATGTGTCTACTTCAATGTTAAACATGTCCATGTGTCCTATACCCTACTGATGTGTCTACTTCAATGTTAAACATGTCCATGTGTCCTATACCCTACTGATGTGTCTACTTCAATGTTAAACATGTCCATGTGTCCTATACCCTACTGATGTGTCTACTTCAATGTTAAACATGTCCATGTGTCCTATACCCTACTGATGTGTCTACTTCAATGTTAAACATGTCCATGTGTCCTATACCCTACTGATGTGTCTACTTCAATGTTAAACATGTCCATGTGTCCTATACCCTACTGATGTGTCTACTTCAATGTTAAACATGTCCATGTGTCCTATACCCTACTGATGTGTCTACTTCAATGTTAAACATGTCCATGTGTCCTATACCCTACTGATGTGTCTACTTCAATGTTAAACATGTCCATGTGTCCTATACCCTACTGATGTGTCTACTTCAATGTTAAACATGTCCATGTGTCCTATACCCTACTGATGTGTCTACTTCAATGTTAAACATGTCCATGTGTCCTATACCCTACTGATGTGTCTACTTCAATGTTAAACATGTCCATGTGTCCTATACCCTACTGATGTGTCTACTTCAATGTTAAACATGTCCATGTGTCCTATACCCTACTGATGTGTCTACTTCAATGTTAAACATGTCCATGTGTCCTATACCCTACTGATGTGTCTACTTCAATGTTAAACATGTCCATGTGTCCTATACCCTACTGATGTGTCTACTTCAATGTTAAACATGTCCATGTGTCCTATACCCTACTGATGTGTCTACTTCAATGTTAAACATGTCCATGTGTCCTATACCCTACTGATGTGTCTACTTCAATGTTAAACATGTCCATGTGTCCTATACCCTACTGATGTGTCTACTTCAATGTTAAACATGTCCATGTGTCCTATACCCTACTGATGTGTCTACTTCAATGTTAAACATGTCCATGTGTCCTATACCCTACTGATGTGTCTACTTCAATGTTAAACATGTCCATGTGTCCTATACCCTACTGATGTGTCTACTTCAATGTTAAACATGTCCATGTGTCCTATACCCTACTGATGTGTCTACTTCAATGTTAAACATGTCCATGTGTCCTATACCCTACTGATGTGTCTACTTCAATGTTAAACATGTCCATGTGTCCTATACCCTACTGATGTGTCTACTTCAATGTTAAACATGTCCATGTGTCCTATACCCTACTGATGTGTCTACTTCAATGTTAAACATGTCCATGTGTCCTATACCCTACTGATGTGTCTACTTCAATGTTAAACATGTCCATGTGTCCTATACCCTACTGATGTGTCTACTTCAATGTTAAACATGTCCATGTGTCCTATACCCTACTGATGTGTCTACTTCAATGTTAAACATGTCCATGTGTCCTATACCCTACTGATGTGTCTACTTCAATGTTAAACATGTCCATGTGTCCTATACCCTACTGATGTGTCTACTTCAATGTTAAACATGTCCATGTGTCCTATACCCTACTGATGTGTCTACTTCAATGTTAAACATGTCCATGTGTCCTATACCCTACTGATGTGTCTACTTCAATGTTAAACATGTCCATGTGTCCTATACCCTACTGATGTGTCTACTTCAATGTTAAACATGTCCATGTGTCCTATACCCTACTGATGTGTCTACTTCAATGTTAAACATGTCCATGTGTCCTATACCCTACTGATGTGTCTACTTCAATGTTAAACATGTCCATGTGTCCTATACCCTACTGATGTGTCTACTTCAATGTTAAACATGTCCATGTGTCCTATACCCTACTGATGTGTCTACTTCAATGTTAAACATGTCCATGTGTCCTATACCCTACAGATGTGTCTACTTCAATGTTAAACATGTCCATGTGTCCTATACCCTACTGATGTGTCTACTTCAATGTTAAACATGGCCATGTGTCCTATATCCTACTGATGTGTCTACTTCAATGTTAAACATGTCCATGTGTCCTATACCCTACTGATGTGGCTATATTTCGCTGTAAAAATCTTTTAAAACTTATATTTATGTTTAAAAGCTTTCATTGCAAATACATGTACAAATGATACATCAACACTCCTTTAAGAAAAGAGATTTATTTCCCATCAATTATTAACATGAATATTTTCACTATATGTTTGTTTTACAATGTCAAGGCACTTTGTCATTGATGTACCTGGTAAGTTTTAGTGATACACATTGTGAGCAGTGAATTTGATATGTTGGTGAATATTACTTAAATCATCAATAGAGCATAGTTAGTATGTATTACTTGTATTAACAGGTCTATATTATAATTTTTGTAATTGACACATTTATTGGAAATGAAAACAATGACACATGCATAAAACAAAATATAAGCACTATCCTGTCTGACATAAAACTATAATTAAACACAATATGAGCATTTGAGTGAGATACAAACATTGGATATTCAATAGGAGTGATATACAAACATTGGATATTCAATCGGAGTGTGATACAAACATTGGATAGTCAATAGGAGTGAGATACAATGTTTGTATCTCACTACTATTGAATATCCAATGTTCGTATCACACTCCTATTGAATATCAAATGTTTGTATCTCACTTCTATTGCATATCCCATGTTTGTATCTCACTCCTATTGCAT